ACACGCTCAGCACCCCCAGAGTCAGCACCCCCAGGCTCAGCACCCTCAGCAGCACCAGAGTCACCAGTAACCTCGACAGGCTCGACGGCGTCTACCTGGGACACACCTGAAGGGGCAGGACCCTGAGGGGGGAGGGGGTCTACCGGGGGGGGACCTGGTACAAGGAAGAGCGGTGGCGGGGGGAGGGACGGAGTGCGGTAGGGGAAGAGGCGGTAGTAGGGGACCGACTCGTCAAACGTGACGTCCTGGGAGGACAGAACACGGCGAGAGGTGGGGTGGTAGAACTGCCACCCTGGCGCGTCAGGGGGGAAGCCAAGGAAGACGCAAGGAGCAGCACGAGGGGACAGCTTGTCCGCAGACAAGTCGCGGACAAACGCCCGAGATCCCCAGACACGGAACGCAGACGCATCGCCAACCTTCCCCGTCCACAGCAAAGCTGGGGAGGTCTCCGGCATGGAGACCCTGGGGTGAAGGTTGATCTGATGCGCCGCGTACCGAACCGCAAACGGCCACAGAAAATGGGGGGCAGCCGCATGCATCATGGACGTACGGGCGACGTCCATGACCATGCCAATGCGGCGCTCAGCAATCCCATTTTGCTGTGGAGAGTCCGGAAGCGTGAAGGTCTGGCGGATGCCTCGTGCACGACAGTAGGCTCGCAGAAGGCCAGAGGAGAACTCTCCACCTCTGTCAGAGTGCAGACGCAGAACAGGAAAGTCCGAGCTGAAGCTCTGCCTGAGCTGGAGACGAGCTGCGCGGATCCAGTCGATCAACACCTCAGTGACATCACCCTTGCTGCGCAAGGGGAAGACTGTGGTATAACGCGAGTAGTCGTCAACCACCCGCAGGAAGTAGCGCTCGTGACCCTGTCCACGGACGCGGGCCGGGCCCCACACGTCCATGTGAAGCGTCTGCAGCGGGGCCTCTGTCGGAGGAAACTGGGAGGAGTGAGGGGCAGCCCGCTGCCGCCCCTCGACACAAGGGACGCAGGTAGGGCCTGGCCCCGGAGGAAGGGGAGGGAGGGACCGGGGAAGACCATAGACAAGGACACGGGAGGCCATGCCTCGGAGACGAAGCAGGGAGGGGTGACCAAGGCGGTGGTGCCAGAGGAGAGTCTCGTGCGACAGGAGGCGACACGAACAGGGGGCAGACTCAGGACCAGACCTGGACGCTGCAGCAAACACCTGACCCGACGCAGCTACCTGACCAGACGCAGTGGTCAGTGTGTACAGGCTCGACCCCGGCCGACGTGTAAACGTGGCCAGGTGTCGGCCTGTCCGAGCGTCCGTGCAGTGGGTCACCCGCTGACTCGCAGGAGTGAACTGGTGAACCCCCGCATCCTGCAGGTCAGCACCACTCACCAAGTTCGTAGAGAATGAGGGGAGGTAAAGACCAGACAGGGTGCCAGAGGGGGCCGCCGGACACGGGAGGACAGTGGAGAAGTGAGCAAGGACAGGACCCCCAGAGGGGTCTGCCAGAGAGACTGCAACTCGCCGGCCAAGCGGCGTGAGTGTGGTGCGGTCTCGAAAGAAGGAGCGAGAAGCCCCCGAGTCAAGGGTGAAGGTGTGGGAGGCCGAAGCGGACGCAGTACCTGAGAGAGCAGACTCACCAGCATCTGAGGGAGCAGACACACGAGCACCTAGAGCAGCAGCCTCGCTAGCACCTAGAGCAGCAGCCTCACCAGTACCTAGAGCAGCAGTCTCAATGCCCGGGTCGGGCGGAAAACACCGGTAACAGTCACCCTCATCACTAATAGTCACAGCATACATGGCAGCAAGAATAGCATCAAAGTCAAGGTCAAAGACAGCTACACCCGCCCTAGACAGCTCGCCCCAACGGGGGATCTCAGTGGCCTCAGGGAACTGGTGACACCAAGCGTCCGTCAGGCGGCCAAAGCAGCGCTGGGTGGAGTGCGCACCCCCGCACTGCTCACCCGCGCGGTCGCCGGTGCGTAGGACGTAGGTGCACGGACCAGTACCCCCACCCCGGTGGCGTGCAGCGTACCACTCACGGAGCTGCTGAGGGGGGGGGATGTCACGAGTGCGCTGCTGCCGCTGCTGCTGCTGCTGCTGGCGCTGACCACCACCGGAGCCGACCCTCTGCGCAGCGCCACCCCGACCACCTCCACCTCCTCCGCCGCCGCCTCCTCCACCGCCGCCACCTCCGCCACCTCCGCTCCCACCGCCACCGCCGCCGCCGCCTCCGCCTCCACTGCCGCCACCGACACTTCCACCCCCGCCACCACTCCCACCACCACCCCCACCCCCTCCACTGCCTCCACCGCCACCTCCGCCACCCCCGCCAACCCCTCCAGCACCCTTGCCCCCCTTGCCCTTGCCAGTGCGGCGTCTCCCGCTCGGGGCAGACGCAGCGCCGACCGACTCGAAACCAACGAGGTCGGCCGCAGCAGCAGAGGCAACAGAGGGCAAAAGGGGGGAGGGGGAACACCCCTCAAAGACGGGGGTGCGAGGGTCACCACGAGAGGCTCCTACAGCGACTATGCTCTTCTCTGCTGCTAGGAGGGCCTTCTCAAGGAGGTCAACGGTGAGAGTGGTGGGGCAAACTGAGAGGAAGTGGTCCCTGACTACGCGAATGGAGTCAGGGAGCCGGGTGACTATGTAGTAGAGGGTGATGTACATGGGGGGGGGGTTCTTGGCGCAGAACTCAGCAGGCAGCGCAGCGCGGTAGCGAGTGTCACTAGTGCGGAGGTGCGTAATGAGGTCAGCGACTGTGGGAAAGGCAGCAAGGTCAGGGAAGAGGTACGGTAGGATGAGGCGGCTCAGTGCAGCAGTGGCAGGGGAGGAGTAGCGCGCAACTACAGCGTGTACAAGGTGTGAGCACTCTTGTACTGGCTAAAGTGCGCACGCTCAGAGGTAGGCAGGTGGCGACGCACAGCAAGACGTGCAGCAGCATCGCGTGTGGCCCACTGTGAGCGAACAGTGGCGTCGGCATCAGCAGCAGGGGCAGGAGAGGCACCAGAGGTGAGGTCAAAGAGGGAGAGACCGTCTGCCCTATCGCACTGTAGGAAAAGCTGCAGGTCATCTACCCAGACGTCAAAGTCAATGGCCCGACCCTCAGCGTCAAAAGCGAGGACACTAGGGGTAGCCATGACAGCAGTAGACTAGCAGCGCGAACAGTAGGGTAAGGGCAGTGCAGTGACAGAGGCGCTGCTCTTACCGGACAGGGCGGCTCGGGCGGCTCGGCGGCTCGGCGGGTCGGCAACTCGGCGGCTCGGGCGGCTCGGGCGGCTCGGCGGTACGGCGGCTCGGCAGCAACTGCGGCTCGGCGACTTGGCGACTCGGGCGGCTCGGGCGGCTCGGCGGTACGGCGGTGCGGCAGCAACTGCAGCTCGGCGGCTCGGCGACCCGGCGGCTCGGGCGGCTCAGGTGGCGCGGCGGCTCGGGCGGCTCGGGTGGATCGGGCGGCTCGGCAGTAGCTCGGCGGCGCCGGCGGCTCGGTGGTGACGGCGGGGCCGCGTGGGGACGGCGGCGGGGCCGGGTGGAGCGGCGGCGAGGCCGGGTGGAGCGGCGTCGGGGCCGGGTGGAGTGGCGTCGGGGCCAGTAGAGGCGGCGCCGGGGCCGGGAAGGGCAGCTCCGGGGCCGCAGGGGTAGGCGACGGGGCCAGCAGAGGCGGCGCCGAGGCAGTGAAGGGCGGCGCCGGGGCCGCAGGGGTAGGCGACGGGGCCGCGAGGGCGGCTAGGAGGGGGGGGGTCGCGAGGGCGGCTTGAAGAGGCCGCGAGGGCGGCTAGAAAGGGCCGCGAGGGCGGCTAGAAAGGGCCGCGAGGGCGGCGTGAAAGGGCCGCGAGGGCGGCGCGACACGAAGGAGCCGCGAGGGCGGCGGATCGGGGCCGCGAGGGCGGCGCGACGCGGCCGCTAGGGCGGCGCGACGTGAAGGGGCCGCTAGGGCGACGCGACGGGGCCGCAAGCGCGACGCGACGGGGCCGCTAAGGCGGCGCGACAGGGTCGAGAGAGGGGAGCGCGACTCGGGCAGTGGAGAGCGCGCTCCGGGCAGGAAAAAAAAATGTGGTGGGCCCTAGGAACAGTTCCCACAGGGGAACCTGCTCGATACCATGAGAAACTGAACGAGAATGAATTGACTAAGGGAAAGTTGGGTACAAATGTAAACCCTAGAAAACTGTACCCCATATGTGCTACCCCACTATAGCCTACAGTAGCTATGTCATATAAATCTGACACCACCACCGCTTGGTTGTGCCACAGTAGAGCCGTGACACCCTCTTGTCTCTGCTGCTTTCTCACCGAGCTTACTTCTGGTCCCTCCCATTCTAATCTGCAGTCTTTCAGTGGGGCACTGGCTTCTTGAGTAACGTCTTTGGCCGCATCCACATCGTCGCTCTCCCTGCAGACGGCACCGCCTACAGCAGCTGCAATACCAAGGCCGTTTATAAGATGGTTGTGAAGCCCACGCGCAAGGCAAAAAAGTATTACAACCTTGTAGACCCAGTTCTTTTCTTCAGCACTGTTGGCAAGGACTGTGCAAAGCATGGGATGAAACTTGCGCTTGTTTAAAGCCCGAGGTCAGCATGGTATTTTTTCAAAGTTTTTGAACATTAAAGCGTGTGAGCGAAGGGTAGCGAGAAACCATTTCGGCACAGTTGCTGAGGCGAAAAAAATCAGTCCAGACGACCTGGCGCGCCTGTTCGCCACACTAGAAATTCGTAAGCCACCCAACCTTGCGACAAACCAAACCACCTAGCCCGTCACACCAAATGCCAAAGCCATCCCCGCGAGCTAATCATGTGTTAGATAGAGCAATAACCTACGATTACGATAAGTATTTTGCTCCCCGCTTGTTGTCCCGAGAGTGCATCGCCGCAGGAAATACGAAGGGCTTAGGACTTCACAAGCGCATGTACTCCATTGTGGGAGCGCACCTCTCAGGGCCTCAGATAGTCGCGCCTCCCCTCTCTTGATCGAGCTTCTCCTCCCCTCGTCGCGCCTCTCCTCGTCGCGCCTCCCCTCCCACCGTCGCGTCATCCGATGTCACTCCACCCGTCCTTTCGACGCGCATCCCCTCGTGCCTCGCTTCCTGTCGTCGCGCCGCGCCTCGCCGTGCTTCCTGTCTCATCGTGGCGCTTCCCCTCCCCGCGTCACGCCTCCGCTCCTTACGTCGCCTCCCCGCGTCACGCCTCCACTCCTTACGTCGCCTCCCCGCGTCGCGCCTCCCCTCCCCTCAACGCGCCAGCACCCGCGTCGCGCTGCCCCTCGTCGCGCCTCATTCCCCCCCTCCGCTTCTCCTTATCCCCCCCTCCGCATTAGTTCATTCCCCCCTCCGTTTCACCTCATTCCCCCCTCCGTTTCTCCTCATTCCCCCCTCCGTTTCTCCTCATTCCCCCCTCCGTTTCACCTCATTCCCCCCTCCGTTTCTCCTCATTCCCCCCTCCGTTTCTCCTCATTCCCCCCTCCTCTTCTCCTCATTCCCCCCTCCGTTTCTCCTCATTCCCCCCTCCGTTTCTCCTCATTCCCCCCTCCGCTTCTCCTCATTCCCCCCTCCGTTCCTCCTCATTTCCCCCTCCTCTTCTCCTCATTTCCCCCTCCACGTCTCCTCATTTCCCCCTCACCCTCACCCTGTGCCCGCTGCCCCTCACCCTCACCCTGTGCCCACTGCCGCTCTTCTGTCCCCTCGGCCTCTCCATGCCTCTCCAAGCCTCTCCAAGCCTCCCCATGCCTCTCCAAGCCTCCCCATGCCTCTCCATGCCTCTCCAAGCCTCCCCATGCCTCTCCATGCCTCTCCAAGCCTCTCCATGCCTCTCCAAGCCTCTCCATGCCTCCCCATGCCTCTCCGTGCCTCTCCATGCCTCTCCATGCCTCTCCATGCCTCTCCAAGCCTCCCCATGCCTCCCCATGCCTCTCCATGCCTCCCCATGCCTCCCCATGCCTCCCCATGCCTCCCCATGCCTCCCCATGCCTTCCGAAACCCTCCCCATGCCTCCCCATGCCTCCCCATGCCTCTCCATGCCTCCCCATGCCTCCCCATGCCTCCCCATGCCTTCCCATGCCTCCCCATGCCTTCCGAAACCCTCCCCATGCCTCTCCATGCCTCTCCATGCCTCCCCATGCCCCTCCATGCCTCTCCAAGCCTCCCCATGCCTCTCCGTGCCTCTCCAAGCCTCTCCATGCCTCTCCATGCCTCTCCAAGCCTCCCCATGCCTCCCCATGCCTCTCCATGCCTCCCCATGCCTCCCCATGTCTCCCCATGCCTTCCGAAACCCTCCCCATGCCTCCCCACCGCCTGCACCGCCTGCATCCTGTCTTGCCCCCATCAGGTGGTGGACGAGGCGGACCGGCTGCTGCGCCAGCTCTACCATGACTAGCTGCCGCTCACCCTCGCCGCCCCTCCCCGCTGCCCCTTCCGATGCCACTGCTGCTACGTCAGCAGTCGCCGGCATGCATGCTGACGTGGCAGTGAGCGTGCCGGTTTTGTGCAGCGTCATGCATGCACATGGCGGTGGCAGCGTGAGCGGTGTTCTCCCCACTCCATTCATCCACGGCTTGCGATCTCTGTGGGCCCTCAGTGGTCACCTCATGCTGCTGTGCGTTGCTGCTATGTGTTGCTGCCATGCTGGTGTTACCTCATCTGAACAGAACACCACCTCTCGGCCTCCCCGTTCCCTTCGTCACGGTCTGTGATCCCTGTGAGCCCTCAGCCGTCACCGGATGCTATGCGCTGCCACCTGCCCGTGCCTTGTGGCTGCTGTGTGCATCTGACCTGCAGTCACCTGACTGACGCTGCTATGAGCCGTTGCCTTGTGCTCGTGTTACATCATCTGACCTGCACGGTTCCTCTCGCCCTCTCATGCTCTCTCCCTCCATTCATCCATGGCATGTCATCCCTGTGAGCCCTCAACTGCTGCCCTTATGTGCTGCATGTTGTACAGCTACCTTGTGCTGGTGTTTGCATCCAACCCATGCACATGCAGTTCCGCTATCGCTCACTCTGGTACCCACACACTGGACATGTGATGGGATAGATGTCATGGGGTTGAATGGAGTGTGCATGGCCTCTCTCTCCGCCTCCACCGTCCCTTGCCCCTTCCAACCCCCCTCTCCCTCTCCCCAGGTGTGTCCGCGTGCGAGCGACAAACTGCTGCTGCTGGCAGCGCAGCTCAAGCAGCTCACTGGGGGCGGCGGATGGGAAGAGAGATGCTGCTGCCAGCACCGGTGCTGCTGCTGCTGCCGCTGCTGTGCGTCTCCAGCACCACCTCTTCCTGCTGCTCTCTGCTTTCCCCCCCGCCTTGCCGCCCTTCGCCTTTTCTGAGTTCTCCTCCCGCCAGTCGCAGCGCCAGCGCAGGTGAGGAGGAGAGGCGGACAGGTGAGGAGGAGAGGCGGACAGGTGAGGAGGAGAGGCGGACAGGTGAGGAGGAGAGGCGGACAGGTGAGGAGGAGAGGCGGACAGGTGAGGAGGAGAGGCGGACAGGTGAGGAGGAGAGGCGGACAGGTGAGGAGGAGAGGCGGACAGGTGAGGAGGAGAGGCGGACAGGTGAGGAGGAGAGGCGGACAGGTGAGGAGGAGAGGCGGACAGGTGAGGAGGAGAGGCGGACAGGTGAGGAGGAGAGGCGGACAGGTGAGGAGGAGAGGCGGACAGGTGAGGAGGAGAGGCGGACAGGTGAGGAGGAGAGGCGGACAGGTGAGGAGGAGAGGCGGACAGGTGAGGAGGAGAGGCGGACAGGTGAGGAGGAGAGGCGGACAGGTGAGGAGGAGAGGCGGACAGGTGAGGAGGAGAGGCGGACAGGTGAGGAGGAGAGGCGGACAGGTGAGGAGGAGAGGCGGACAGGTGAGGAGGAGAGGCGGACAGGTGAGGAGGAGAGGCGGACAGGTGAGGAGGAGAGGCGGACAGGTGAGGAGGAGAGGCGGACAGGTGAGGAGAGGCGGACAGTGAGGAGAGGCGGACAGGTGAGGAGGAGAGGCGGACAGGTGAGGAGGAGAGGCGGACAGGTGAGGAGGAGAGGCGGACAGGTGAGGAGGAGAGGCGGACAGGTGAGGAGGAGAGGCGGACAGGTGAGGAGGAGAGGCGGACAGGTGAGGAGGAGAGGCGGACAGGTGAGGAGGAGAGGCGGACAGGTGAGGAGGAGAGGCGGTGCTATGCTATGCCATCCATCCGTCCCCACCTCACAACCTCAAGCCATTGCACACAATAAGTAGTGAGAGCCACCTTGGCACCCTGCTGCCCCTCCTCCCTGTTCTCAGATCCCTTTACCATCTTCTCATCTTTTCCCCACCCCACTCCCCCCCCGACCCCCCCGTCCCACCACCCAGCCATTACACAACAGCTGCAGTGTGTGGGCCCTTCAAATTTCCCCCCTACCACTCCTCTCAGCTGTCCAACGCCGCCAATCCCCGCCACTCCACTCAGCTGTCCAACCTGGATATAGTCAATGCGACCGCCCTCAGATATGATTCGCATGAAGCCTACAATGTAGCTTTGGGAAAGTGCTCCCCATTTATTGGCAACTACTCCCTTGAACTTCAAGAGTGTGATAAGGCTTGCAGTACCTCAGAATTACTACTCACAAGACTGCCAATCGCATAATTTGAAACAGTCGCAGCTACCCCAGGAGGGGCTGAATTCACATGTTGCATCACATAGAACAGCTCGGGTCAACACTGAGTTCTGGGCATACACAATACACCCCTAAGCCCACTAGTATCACAGGTAAACCCACGTTCTTAGAAACCTCCAGCGCACAGCAGCCAGCTAGCCCCGGCTCTTCTACATGTACGTAGGGAAACATCTCTCACAGCCGACAGAGTGCTCTCTGAGTTCCTCTGGCGTGCTGGCAGGCGACAGACTGCATGTGGGTCTCGCCCCGCCACACAGCGACATGCCTTGCCTTTCCCTGCACCACTCTGCACTCCCCAGGCCCAACGCAGTGCAGACCAGCCTTGCCCCACCTCGCATAACTTGAAGTGCGCTGCCGCCAGGTGGGTGAAGGAGGGAGGGGAGGGGGGAATGAGTGGTGGAAGTTCACATGCATGCGTCAATGGGAAGTGCTATACAAAATGGCACAAAAATAAAAACCCTAAACACTTATGCAATGTGTCCCAACGTTGCGAGACTAGATGGCAGGATGGATGGAAGGAGTGGTGGACGCTGGTGGTCCGAGGTTGCATCTGTCTCTGCCGCCCAAACGCCAGTAACAACGGCGTTGCCTGCTTGAGGCTGCATTTTATGTATGTGTACCTGAGTAATGGATATGTCACATGGGGATTCAATGCAATACAAGGTATTCAAGCCTTTTGAAAACATTGAAGCTCAATTCGGTACCAATTTAGAACCTGGGAAAAATAGTGGAGTACAGCACCGTACAGCACATAAGTTATAACCCCTTTTTGCAATCCTCGTTTGTGTTATGAGTTGTAATGGAGAGTGCGCGGAATAACGAAACTGTGACTTAATGAACTGTCGATTACAATGAAGGCAAGCGACTATATAGTGAATACTCTAGCTAGGAGGGAACCTCGGGAAACGAGGTTGGGTGCAGGTTGGAGGACGGAAAGCCGAAGGCGACGCGGAGGAGCCTCACCATCGTTGATGTCGGCCGAACGTGCAAGTCCGAAAATCGGGGTTGTACGCGTAGCAGTCAACCCCGGTAAGGATAAAGGAAAAATCCTTACACTATCCGCAACTCGCTTGCGCGCGAAATAATCACCAAGAAGCGAGGAAGCTTCAAGCGATGCGGATGGCACCCACGTGTCGTCCTCACTAGTGCGGTCAGTCCATCGGACTAGAAAATCCACGTGGCGTCCAGTGGCGTTGAGCCGGATCCGATGTCCGAGAATCTTCGAGGGGTCGATGGTCGGTTCCGGGACAGGTCGAGCTGTCGGGGCGGCATTCTGGCGCGCAATGTCTGTCGTGGCAGGCACGAAGTTGCGAAGGAGGCTGACATGGAAGGCGTCGTGTATACGCCAGTCGTCGGGTAGCAGCAGCTTCGCAGTGACAAGTGTCACCATCTGGATGATGCGGAAAGACCCACAAAATCGTGGCCGTAGTTTGTTCGAGCCGGGCAGGCGTAGGTTTTTTTGTGTCAAGTAGCTCTAGTTGCCCATGCTGTCAAAACATGTTTATATCATGTTAGTGATGTTAGGCTGTAGTGGGTTACTCCCTATGGGGTACAACCCTTTGTTAGGGTTGCTATTTGTTATGATTTGGTTTACGGAAGTTATCTATGTACTGCACTATTCGAAGTGTAACAGCGAGTACCTCAGTATTGAGAATGTTGACTCAAGTATCGAACTACAGGGGCTCAACCGTGCACAGTGGTTGTGCCCCGCGTGGCAGCTGAAGGGTCAGATTCGACAGGAGGCAGCGTCTACAGTGCACGAAACTGACCTGCGGGGCGCGGCAGAATACCGCGCCCTTGCCGAAGCTGAACAGTTTCGCCATCACGACTGTAACAGGGCAACCGAATCGACGCAGCGCAACTGTTATACAGTTGCGCCTTGGTAACTGTTTGCCTAATATGTTTCATATATAACTCAATGTACTGCCATGCTATTATTACACAATTTGAATCCTTGTGTCCGGCTTTCCCTCGGCCGCCGCAGTGGCACCATGTGCCAGGCCAGAAGTGCTACCTCTGAGTGACCAATTGCCCCGCTGCAGGGACGTCGTTATCTTCCTATAGTATTTCCGCTACTCTAGTGACTTTATGGATTCTAACATGGTATCACGAGCAAGAGTTCCGATCCTTGGAACCTGTGGTAACTTTTTCAAATGGGCGCACCCTCTTAATTATCACCAGGAGCATCTCCTGGAACAGGTTCACACCTACCACTTCCCACGGAGCATTTCAATGTGGAGGAAATCTTCAACGTGCCGACGCAACATTTCGAGCGACTCGGCAAGGCGCCTTTTCAAGGCGTTCCGGCATATTCCCCGGCAAGGACTTCACAGCTTCAACCCGGCAGAACTTCATACGCCCTCTCTTCTACACTTCTAACAGTGGAGGGGAGTGTTATGATTTGGTTTACGGAAGTTATCTATGTACTGCACTATTCGAAGTGTAGCAGCGAGTACCTCAGTATCGATAATGTTGACTCAAGTATCGAACTATAGGGGCGCAACCGTGCAAAGTGGTTGCGCCCCGCGTGGCAGCTGAAGGGTCAGATTCGACAGGAGGCAGCGTCTACAGTGCACGAAACTGACCTGCGGGGCGCGGTATTCTGCTGCGCCCTTGCCGAAGCTGAACAGTTTCGCCATCACGACTGTAACAGGGCAACCGAATCGACGCAGCGCAACTGTTATACAGTTGCGCCTTGGTAACTGTTTGCCTAATATGTTTCCTATATAACTCAATGTACTGCCATGCTATTATTACACACTTTGAATCCTTGTGTCCGGCTTTCCCTCGGCCGCCGCAGTGGCACCATGTGCCAGGCCAGAAGTGCTACCTCTGAGTGACCTGTGAGAATAATACGAGGAATGGATGAACTAGAAAGGAGATGGGTACATATAGGGAAACCTTAGAAATGCTGTACCCCCTATTGTCTAACCCACTACAGCCTAAACAGGCTATAACATATGTTTGACACACCCCCATCGGCAAAGTGGGGGAAAACAAGAGGTCACAAGACCAGTTCAGAAAAGCAAAGCAAGCTCAGGGTGGATCTCAAGGATACCACACAAATTCCGAGCACAAGCAAGCGGTCACAAGACCAGCTCACATGCAGTTTGATAATACAACAAGAAGTACAGTGACCACAACCTAGCAAGTGTAAACATGAAGGTAGACATATATAAGGATCACAGTACAAGCAGAGTCAAGAAGTAAGCAAGTGAGGCACAGTAGGCACAAGGCCTAGAACAGTACAGAAACGCTGATGATCACAAGGCTGGAGTGCCTTGGTGAAGACATCAGCAGTGTTGGCCTGAGTGGCCACGTAAGCAAGACGAAGCTGACCACGCTGCTGCAACTCTCGAGCAAGGAAGTAGCGCAGAGCGATGTGCTTCGTTCTGTGCTCCAGTCTGTGCTCCTGACACAAGGCAATCATGGCCTTGTTGTCGACGTACAGCACTGGAGGAGAACGAGGCGGCTCTCCAAGGTCGGTCAGCAGGTAGGTGAGCCAGCGTAACTCCTGAGCAGCCATGGCCCCTGCGTAGATCTCAGCCTCACAACTGGAGCTGAGAACAGAAGACGAGCGGGTAGACCGCCACGAAACAGAGCCGGAGCCAAGGCTGAAGGTGTAACCCTGTGACGACCGCTGCGTAGCCAAGTCGTCAGCCCAAGAAGCGTCTGCGTGACCAGTGAGGACAACTGGACCTCGCCCTCCAAGCACGAGCCCCATGCCCGACGTACTGCACAAGTAGCGCAACACCCTCTTAGCAGCATCCATGTGCTCCTTCCTGTGTCGGCCAGGAGCGACATAGCGTGCTAGGATGCTAAGAGGGTAGGCTAGGTCAGGTCGAGTGCAGGTCATCAGGTACATGAGGCAGCCCACAAGCTCTGGATACGGGCCACTCGGCTCTACGGACTCGTCCGAAGGTGGAGCTGAGAGCGAGTGACCGGTAGGCAGAGGAGTGGACTGTGGCGAGGAGTACGTGAAGCGGAAGCGCTGAAGGACCTGCTGCACCATGTGTGACTGATTCAAGGTAATGGTGCACTGTGCTCTGTCCCGGGTGATCCGCAAGCCAAGATAGATTGTCAGCTCACCCAGGTCTGTGCACGTGTGTCTCTTCTGCAGCTCCGACTTCACGTGGGCGAGTGCCTCAGTGTCAGCAGTAGCAAAGACCAAGTCGTCTACGTACACGAGAACGTAGAACGGCGGCAGAGTGGTGTCGGTGCGTAGAAACAACGACGGGTCAGCAGTAGAAGGAGCAAACCCAAGAGTAGCAAGAGTAGTCCTCAGTGTGTCGTGCCACTCACGGGGTGCCTGGCGGAGACCGTAGACTGGCCGCCGGAGGCTCCACTGGGTACCAGGAGGAAACGACCCAGTGAAGCCAGGTGGGCGGAGCAGCTAGATCTCCTCGTGCAGGCTGCCCTGTAGGAAAGCAGTGCTGAAGTCAAGAGAGTGGAGCTCGTAGTCACGCTGAGCGGCGACGTGCAGCAGAACCCGAAGAGTGGTCATCTTCGGGGTAGGGGAGAAGGTATGGAAGAAGCCAACTCCCTCACGCTGACTGAAGCCTCGTGCAACGTAACAC